GTAGTTGCAGTTGGATTTGTAGTTGCAGTTTGATTTGTAGTTGCAGTTGGATTTGTAGTTGCAGTTTGACTCGCAGTTACAGTTGTATTTGAAGTTGCAGTTTGACTCGCAGTTACAGTTGTATTTGAAGTTGCAGTTTGACTCGTAGTTGCAGTTGTATTTGAAGTTGCAGTTTGACTCGCAGTTACAGTTGTATTTGAAGTTGCAGTTTGACTCGCAGTTATAGTTGTATTTGAAGTTGCAGTTTGACTCGTAGTTGCAGTTGTATTTGAAGTTGCAGTTTGACTCGTAGTTGCAGTTGTATTTGAAGTTGCAGTTTGACTCGTAGTTGCAGTTGTATTTGAAGTTGCAGTTTGACTCGTAGTTGCAGTTGGATTTGTAGTTACTTTTTTATTTTGGGTAAAAGTAAAATGGGACACAGATCAACAAAAGTGTTTTATAATTAATGTGCCTTTGAGGCCTGATTTAACAACAGTAAAATATGATCAAATTAAGGTGGAAAATTGTTGATATTTAGGGCAGAATTAAGAGAAAACGGTAAACAATTCAATAATACTCAATAGCCATATCAAGTTTGCAATGAATCTCAACCACAAAGACAACGTTTTGCACCTCCCACAATTTGTGTGTGTGTGTGTCTAACAGGAAAGTGTCTAATAGGAAAGAAAATACATCTTTGAATACACACTGACCATTGGTTGTTGTGATATCGGAAACACTGATGGATGTGTTATCAACTGTAAAGTTGAAATTTCCAGCTGTAATTGCTTCAACAAATGTGTTTTTCACTTCTGTCAGATTAGGACTAGCGTTTGCGTTGTTAAACTCAAGCACAGAATCCGTCACAACTGAGCCCGCACTGTGGGGAACAAGCATATTGAAACACAGTCAGGCATAATTAACCAACAAACAACTGAATGGCCAAATGGAACAATCAAATGGTCACTTGATTAACAAATTGATTAACCAAACAATCAGCTGAGAAAGCAATCAACTAATCTAAATAAATCATGCATGAATCCACCTAATTTGATGAAATTTAAACAGGGTGTTTGCGAATTACCATAAGTGAATGTACTGTTTTACCTGAATTTTCGAATAAACATGCGAAGGAAGTTTGCAAACCGTTTCCGGTAAACTGGAGTAATCTGTAAAAGATAGATAAATAATCATAAAAACATGTTATTTACATA